TACCTAACAATAACCCTAACTCTAACCCTAACCCAAATTCTAACTCTAAACGTAACCCTCATTCTTACCCTAACTCTAACCCAACCACTAAACCTATCCCGAACCCTAACTTAACTGCAAATCTAACCCTTAGACTAACCCTAACCTTAACACTAATACCAACTTATCTATAACCCTAACCCTAACCCTCCCAAACCCTAACCTTCACTCTTACCGTAAGCCTAACCCTAACCTTAAACCTAACCCTAACAATAACCCTAACCTAAACCTAAGCCTGACCCTAACCCTAACCCTGACTCTAACCTTAACCCTAAGCCTAACCCTAACCTTAATCCTAACCCTGACCCTATTCTTAACACTAACTCTAACCCTAACTTTAACTCCAATACTAACCTTAACCCTAATCCTAACATTAACAATAACCCTAACCCTAACCCTTACCCTACCTCTAACCCTAGCCACAAACCTAACCCTAATCTTAACCCTAACCACAATCATAATTGTAACTCTAACCTTAACCCTAATCCTAACCCTAACCCTAAACCTAAACCTAATATTAACCCTAAACCTTACCTTAATTCTAACTCTAACCCTAGCCCAACCCTAATCTTAACCCTAACCCTAACTGTAACCTTAACCCAAAACCTAATCCTAATGCTAACCCTAACCATAATCCTAATACTAACCTTAACAATAACCCTAACCCTAAACCTAGCTCTTACGCTAACCCTGACCCTAACCATAACTTAACACGAACCTTAATCCTAACCCTAACCTTAACCCTAAAAATAACCCTAATCCTAATGCTAACAATAACCCTAACCCAACCCTACCACGAACTCTAACACTAACCCTATTTTTAATCCTAACCCCCATTCTTACCCAAACCTTAAACCTAACATTAGACCTAAACCTAATCCTAACTGTAAACCTACCCTTAAACCTAAACAAACCCTAACCCTCATTCTTACACTAAACCTATCCCTAACCCTAACCTCAACAATAATCTTCACTCTTACCATAAACCTAACCCTAATCCTAACCCTTACCCTAACTCTAAGCCTAACTCTAATCTTAAACCTAATCCTAATCTGAACCCAATTCCTAACCCTAACAATACCTCTAAAACTATCCTAAGCCTAACCCTAACCCTAACAATAACCCTAACACTTACTCTAACTCTAACCCTAACCATTAACCTAACCCTAATCTTAACCCTAACCATAACTGTAACTCTAAACTTAACCCTAATCCTTACCCTAATCCTAATACTAA